ATAATGATTCGGGTGATGTTGATGAGGACGGGGGTAATGATGATAAGGAGGGGGATGATGATGATGCAGCTGCTGCTGTCGGTGTCAACGACGGGTCTGTTAGGAATGATGGTTGTTGTTGTGCTGATGTTGGCGACGGTCTATCTGACTATGGTGAGGATCATCATCGTCACGTTTCTGGTGATGTCGACAACGGCGAGGCTCATGATGCGTGGACGGTGGCGATGATGACAGGGGGGGGGCAGGAGGAAAAGGAGGACATCGGGGATAATTAGGAGGAGTAGAGTCGGATTGCAATTTCTGTTCAGGGTTTTTTGTGGGTGCTGGGTCGGTTTCGGGAGAAAAATATTGAGAAGAGGGGCGTGTTTTGGGAATGTAAATGATGTGCGGAGTTGAAACGCCGACGGCACTCCTTGTCCCCCTCCCGCCTCCTGCTCGCCCATCCTCCGCACTCCGTCGATTTGCCCCCCTCCCCTCCTCCTTCCCCTTCACCTGAATTCCTCACCCTTTTTTTCTTCGTTCCCTTTGTTTTCCTCCTTCCGCCTCTCCCTGCCCCTCCCTACCAGCCGCAGTGGGCAGGGGAGGTCACGTGCCGCATGGCGCACGAGTACGCCACGGATTTCATCCAAAGCGAGGATTCCAATGCAGCCACAAGGGGAATGATTTGGGGTCGCTCTTCCAGCTAATCTTCGAGGCCCTCCATATGTTCGCTTTCCGTCGGTTCCAGTTGCATCCTGTCTCTTGTCCTCCCCTACCTTTAAGAAGGCAGGGGAGGAGGATTCACCGATCAGCTTTAACGATATAACGATAACCAACATAATATGGAGGAAGCGAGCGAAGGAGGGACGGACAGGAGGATGAGGAAGAGAAAACCGAGGCGGAGGATTTAGGGCGAGTCTAAGAGTCTTTTTGTCTGCGGCGGCGGCGAGGAGGAAGAGGAAATGGGGAGGAACACATTGGACGAGGATGACGAGGACGATGGTCATGATGATGATAACGATAGTGAGGATGATGTTGTTGATAATGCTGATGTTGCTGATGATGCTGATGATGTTGATGCTGATGATGCGGATGATGTTGATTACGGCGTTGATGATAATGATGATGATGCTGATGATGAGACTGCTGATGATAGTGATGATGCTGATGGCAATGATGAGCTGATGATGCTGATATTGATGCTGCTGATGATGCTGCTGATGATGATGATGATGGTGATGATGATGGGTGTGGTGGTGATGATGATTATGATGATGCTGATGCTGCTGTTGATGACGCTGATCATGATGATGCTGATGATGCTGATGATGTTGATGCTGATGATGATGATGATGATGATTTTGATGCCGATGCTGATGATGATGCTGATGCTGATGCTGATGCTGATGCTGATGCTGCTGATGATGCTGATGAGATGATGCTGATGATGGTGATGGTAATGGTGATGGTGATGCTGATGATGCTGATGATGCTGATGACGACGACGATGACGATGACGATGACGATGATGATGATGATGATGATGATCATGATCATGATCATGATGATGATGATGATGATGATGATGCTGCTGCTGATGATGATGATGATGTTGATGATGATCATGATGATCATGATGATGATGATGATGATGATGATGATGATGATGATGATGATGATGATGATGATGATGATGACGGTGGAGGTTCTAGTGGTGATGCGGTGGGTATGGTGGTGGCGACGATGACGACGACTATGACAGCCATGGCGATGATGATAATGGTGCCATGTATTATGATTGCGGATAATGAGGTGGGAGAGCGTGAGGGCCGGAGCGGATGAGGAGGGATCTATGGAAGTTGGAGGCAGAACGGAGATGAAGAAGGAAGAGCAGGGGGAAGGAGGGAGGGAGTGAGGAGGTGGGAGGGTGGAGGAGAAGGAGGAGGAGGAGGAGGCGCCCACATAGCCCCCCCCCAAGGGCCTTGTACTACGCCCTCGAGCCTGCCACAAACTCCCCCAAACCCGGCGTTCCTCCTTTTCCGCCCTCTTCGTCGTCGTCATCGGCGACGTCGCCGCCGCCAGCACCGTTGCTGTTCTCGCCCTCGTCCTTCTCTTCGACTTCCCCTCTCTCGTGGCCGTGGCCGCTGCCGTCGCCGCCGCTGCAGAAGCAGGGGGCGAGCAGACCTGCTCGGCGGCGGTGCCGCCGCCGCCGCCCTGGGGCACGCCCCTCGCCAGGACGAGCGCGCCTCCGCCGGCGGGCCGAGACGGCCCCGCGGCGCGCTCTCCGAGAACGCGCCCCGCTGCACGCCTGTCGTGGGCGCTGGCCGCCGTCGTCTTTGGCGCCGTCGCCGTCTTCGGCGTTGTCGCCGTCGCCGTCTTCGGCGTTGTCGCCGTCGTCTTCGCCGTGGCCATCCCCCCCCACTGGGGCATGGCCAGGACCCCAGGTAAGGGGACCCGGTTAGCAGCAGGGCCCCAGAGCCCCTAAATTGGCCAGAATTCTGAAACCAGGTCTGCCGTAGCTTTTGTTTTTTCGGGTGACGGCAGTTCCTGTTAGTGGAACGGGGCTTAGGGGGCGCCCCCCAGTCCACATGTTAAAACTAGGTCACAATAAACCCAGTTTTGCCAACGCCCGACCCACGCCCTTTTTGAAACGATGCTTGAGTTTCAGGAGCTGGGTTGTTGGCACTTCTCGGACCCTCAGGGGCCTCTTTGTTTGTCTTCGTTCCTTAGTGCCTGAAGGCTTGAGGCTTGTGGCAGGCAGGGAGTCCACATGTCTCACCGTGCCTGCGAGAAGTACGCAGGCCTCGCAGTTTGGGACTTGAGTGGGGAGTTACGTGAGCAGTCGTGGCGAGTGGCGAACAATAGGAACCTGTCGCGCACGCAGGGACAGTGCAGGTCCATTCGTCCCCCGCTCTCTCTCAGAGAGATCGGCCTCTGTCGCTCTGCGGGGGGTTTCGTCGCAACACCGCCTCACACCACCATGCGTCTGCCAACCCAGTCCTCCTCTTCGCACCACCCAGGTGTTAGTGAGACGGGCCGCTCGTTTCGCTACACGTGTTCGCCAGTTGTTATCCTATCTCTTGCTCCCTGCAACTACACATCTGGAGTGTTTACCCTGTTCAAAGTATAGCTCTCGTTTCGACACTGCGCGCATGCGTGTCAAGCGTTTGCAACAAACATGTGGAAAGAGGGCGGCTGGTTTGCCAACTTCGGCTATCGCCTTCGCGCCGTGCACACTTGAAATAAAGCGCGCAACATCTGAACGGATACTGGGCGCCAGTGCGGCGAGGCTGCGGGCGAGCTGCGCGCAGTGCGGCGAGCCGCTCTCTCTCTCTCTATTCAGTGCGGCGAGCTGCGGGTGGAGGGCGCTCCATGCTTGTCTGTCCACTTGCCACTTTTCTGAAGCCCGATCCAACATGTAATGCTACCTGGGATATCACGACCGCATGTTTGGAGGACGGCTCCTTTTCAACACGGGTCTCTCGCCCGATTGGCAGACCCATGGGGCGCTCGTGGTAGAACGGTGCGCCCCCGTTGCGGAGAGAACCACCTGTATGGTCCAGTGATGAGTGTGCGTGTGCGTGTGCGTGTGCGTGTGTGTCTGTGTGAGCGTGTGTGTCTGTGTGTGTGTGCGTGTATGTGGGTGTGTGTGCGCGCGTGTGTGTGTGTGCGCGTGTGCGTGTGTGTGTGTGTGTATCTGTGTGCGTGCGTGCGTGTGTGTGTGTGTGTGTGTGTGTGTGTGTGTGTGTGTGTGTGTGTGTGTGTGTGTGTGTGGTGCGTGCGTGGTGCGTGCGTGCGTGCGTGCGTGCGTGTGCGGTGCGTCGTGCGTGCGCGTGCGTGCGTGCGTGCGCGTGGCGTGTGCGCGCGCGCGTGTGTGTGTGTGTGTGTGTGTGTTGCGCCGCGCGCGCGCGTGTGTGTGTGTGTGTGTGTGTGTGTGTGTGTGTGTGTGTGTGTGTGTGTGTGTGTGTGTGTGTGTGTGTGTGTGTGTGTGTGCGTGCACGCCCTCCGTGCGCTGAGGGCCCCTCCCCGGGGAGCTCCCTCGGCCGCAGGGAAGTGCTCGCACCTGCGGTGGACGTGCACCAGTTCGGTGCCCCCCAAAAGGGCAGTGTGCGACTCCCCGTAGCCATTATCCCCAAGACTTGAGCACTGCCACGGGTCGGCATAGGCGCGATCGCTCCCCCATTGCCGCCATGGTCCTCGGGCTACTCGCGGATGGCTTTCGCGTCTGCGTGCGCATGGGGAAGAAACCCTTCGTGGGCAAACCCATCCCGCTCGTGTTCGCTGGGGTCACAGCCTCTGGCACCTGGTTCAACAACGTCAGGAGGGGCAACGAGAACCCCCACTTCAACAAGATCTAGGGAGACGAGAACTGCGAGGCGCACTGAGGAGGCGTCCGAGCTGGCGGGGGCGCCCCTGTCGGGCCCGCGCGGCGATGGCGCCCGATCCCCGCTGCACAGGGACGCCCCCCCCCGCCGTTGGTCCAGATGGTGGCTGGGGATGGCGGGAGGGACCTCATGGACACGACGCTGGCGCTTCCGATCCTCCCTGTCGAAGTGAAAGCCCTCGCGGGGACCTCGCCCAGCCCCAGTAGGGGGGCGACCCCTGACGCGGGAGAAACCGACGCAGGAGGAGTTCCCCAGGCAGGCGCATTGGACCAAAGCTGGCCTTTGGGCCTAGCAGGATCCGTCGCGCCCTCGGCACTTGAATGTGACACATCCAGGTAAACGCAGCCCTCATGGCACGCTCCACCTCGCCGCGCCCCAGCCTCCCCGCACAGTGGAGGCGCCTTCGGCCAAGCGACCTCTCCAAGCACGGAGGCGGCCGTGGGCGCAGGAAGGGCTCGCGCATCTGCGGGGGACATTGACCGCAGGGGTGGGGGATGCGTAGGCCTAAAGGTCAAGGGCCCCAGAGGGATTTGGCCCATGACGGCCCCAGTTTGGGGTCGCGGGTCACAGCTCTCACTTCGCAGTCCGAAATTCCGCCTCTAGCTAACATTCTCAGGACTTTTTTCACCCCAGGTCATGTTCTGCGAAGATGGCTACAAATATTGCGGGAAAAAGAAGGATGGCGAGTGCCAGTGTGGGCGATTGCGGAGTCGCGGGAAGGCGCCAGCCCTGGCCCAGGCAGGTCCGGAGCTCATGGAACAGATCGGGAACCTCTTCGAGCAAAAGGCCGAGGGCATCGTCGGCAGGCTCGAGACGCGCATCGCCAAGAACGAAGAGGGACCGAGGAGGCGCGCAAGCGTCTTGACAATCAGTATGAACGCTTACGTGAAATGGACAGGGAGGTCGCTGCAGGTGTGGTCTCGAGCCCTTCGACCTTCTTGCCCGCTCGCATCGAGATCAAGAACATCTGCGATTCCAAGGAGAAGGCGGAGAAGGGCATGAACGGGGAGAAGGCAGAGTTTGCGAATACCCCGCGCGGGCATCCTCCGAGTTTGCAGACGAAGGTCACGACGATTCACGCCAGGGGTTCAGGGTGCACAAATTTTATCATCATGGTCGAGCCGGGCTTCGGGGAGGAAGTCTCATCGATTTACAAAGACCTCCTTGAGGATCCAGCCATTCATTGGAACGGAAGGGAGCTTTACACCACATGCGAGAGGCACCCGGACGTTCAGAAGCTATATGCAGCGGGTGGCAAGGCGCGGGCATTCGCCCAGTCAAAGATCCAGTCCGCGGGCGCGAAGGCTGAGTGCTCACGGGGGCCGCGCTGGTTGTTGGCAGTATTTGCAGACGACGCGTTCACTACCGTCGGTGATGCGACGACAAATGGCATCGTCATTTGGTCCATCGACGGGTGCCAGAAGGCGTTCGACACTAGTGCCCCGGAGATGCAGCGCGGCCCAGCTGGCTTTCGCCAGATGCTGGGCTCGGATAGCATCATCGACGTCGACAGTTTCACCGCGGCGGGCTCGGGCACTTGCAAAATGGGGAAGTCCGCTGTGCACCGGGTTACTGGGGAGCTGCGTTCGCAGTTGGGGAATTTGCGCGGCGCCGTTGCAGGGGGCGTGTCATATTGAGCAGCCCGGGGTGCGATTGTGATTTTCTTCTTCCTAGATGTTGGGTGCCAGCTATCCGTCGCGCCGCTCGTCGTCGCTGCTGGCCCGGTTGCGTCGTTGGAAACGTGGCCCGACTTCCAGTTCATATTTTGGAACATTCGGTGGAAGACTGGCTCGGCCAAACTGTAGTTTCGACGTTCTTCATGCGGTTGACGCCAGCTGCAGCCTGCCTGCGAACCGCGGGCGCTGCGGGGGAGCGTGTTTCACCTGGCGCCAACCCAGAGGTCCAATGGATCACCAGATGGATCATCTACGATGCGTACATCATGGATTTGGATCCATGGCCTTTTTGTGGTCTCATCTTGATCCATGAGCTGGATTTTGATCCATGAGCTGGATCTTGATCCATTGGGTTTCTGGGTATAGCATTGCGCATGCATAGCATATCATGGCGCAATGCATATACACAGTACACCATGCTACGATACATATTAACCACTACTAACTTGCATTGCAAATTACGTATGCATGTAACATCATATCATACATATCGTAATAGCACATGTAAGACTTATCATACAGCATAGACATAAATAGTACTGCTAAATGTAATCAATAACATCATAGCGTTATCGTATGTGCTAATAATTATGGAAGTGGCTGTATCACAGCATAAGCGTGGGTTGCACAAGCATGCCACTCGGCCGTCCGATGAATCCCCCTCCTCATGCCCGCTTCTTTTGCGTTTCTTGCGCAGCGTGGCCCAAGGCCGCGCCGCGGCGCGCCGCCGCCCTCCTCCGCGTCCGTGTCTTGTTTTCCCCCCCTCTATTATTATTGTTTCCCCCCACCACCCGCGCGCGAGCCCCCCCCCCCCCCCCCCCCCCCCCCCCCCCCCACCCCCCCCACGATTTCTATTGGGTGCACATCGTTTGCCGAGCGAACTGAAACTCCAACCCCCTCTGGGCCAGAAGTTGCGGGGGGCGGGGGTAAGGTTCACGCGTGGCCAACCATCCGCGGCATGGCCGCGGCCGCCATGCCGACGCCAGGGGGCGAGCACGAGGCTGACGATTTTAGCGACTGCGGCGCCGAGAGTGGGCAGACCACCGAGACTGCGCGCGCAGTGTTGGCGCAGGCGATCCTTATCAATACCACGACGGACCCAAATTTTTTCGAATATGGCAGGCGCGGCCGACGGTCGACCCTCGACCAGAATTTGCTGGGGGGCTGGTAGATGTCCAGGGGATTGTTCACTTTTCGGCTCTTTACTTCCTCTTCTCATTCGCCGTCCCCATACCATTCCTTCGCGATCCCGTCCCTTTCCTCCCCTGCATGGTTACCCCCATGTTGCCTTACGGCGGGGGCATTGGATAGGGGATGTCCTCCGAGGGGCCAGGCCCGCGGCTTGCCGCCCATCGGTCGCGAGGCCCTGGACTCCTTATCCAAAGGTTCCTTATCCAAGGCCCCCGCCGCATCTGCCTCCCAACGTATCATTCCGTTTCTGGGGGGCGGGCAGGCGAAAGAGCTATTGAATCCTATGAGAATGGCTGTTCATGGCACTGGCCTTGTTAAGGGAGCTGGTCTCAAAGCTGCATTGAAGACAGTTGGTGGGATGAAAGGCTGGGCTTCATCTATGTCGACCTTGGACGGGCGGGGGATTGCACGGTCAGGGCAACATGGGCGAGGAAGGGGCGGAAGAGGATGAGGATGATGAGGGCGGGGGGGGATGGCGGAGGAGGAGGAGGAGGAGGAGGAGAAGGAAGACTAGGCGGAGGAGGAGGGGGAGGAGGAGGATGAGGAGGGGGAGGAGGAGGAGGAGGAGGAGGAGGATCGGGGCCGTCTGCAAGACGAAGCCAGGGCGAGGAGAACAACGGGAGAAGACAGATCGAGAATCTCGGAGCTCTGGCCGGGCTGGAGGATGTCTCGGGCGCCGCGGCCTTCTCAGAGCGTCCTAGAACGCTCTGAGAGCTCTTCCTGATCGCTCAAGAACGGATGTATTTCGTCCTGGCCCAGTCCGAAAAAGGATCGGGGCCGTCTGACAGGGGTGAGGGCGAGGAGGAGGGGGAGGAGGAGGAGGAGGAGGAGGAGGATGGGAGGAGGATGGGAGGAAGAGAAGGAAAAGGAGGAGGAGGAGGAGAACGAGGAGAACGAGGAGAACGAGGAGGAGTAGGAGGAGGAGGAAGGGGAGGACTTCGAAGATTGGATCACCACCATGTCCGAAAGATTGGGGACTGCCCGGGGGCACATTAAAGATACCGAGGTGAGGAGGACAGACACGGACTGGTTGGTGAAGCACTTCCCCCCACGCCCAGAGAAGAAAGTGACGATGCAGACAGCAGATCATGATGCACACGATGTGGTCAGAAAGAAACCATCAGCAATGAAACGGCCATCATCATGAGCCGACGATCTCGACGACGCGCCACCTATGAAGAAACCCGCTGCAGCAACTGGTGACGAAATCAAAAGTGAAGAAATCTGTGGTGGTGACAAAAAGCGCGAAGATGACCTACCCTCGCACGGCAAAGACGGCAAGCTCATCGTTAGGAAGAAAGTTGGTGCTCGGGCGACGTTCGACGAAATACCAGGCGATGCGATGATGGCAGATATTGATATCCCGTCACCGCCCCCCGAACGGGCGCCAGAAGAGGGTGCGACAGGAGAGGCTGCGACAGGAGAGGCTGCGACAGGAGAGGACGCGACAGGAGACACTGCGACAGGAGAGGATGCGACAGGGGACACTGCGACAGGAGACACTGCGGCAGGAGACACTGCGACAGGAGACACTGCGACGGAGGCGACGGACGACGGCACTGTCGAGTGGGACTCGGAAAGGCGTCAGGCATGCTTGAGGTTGCAGCCAGGAAAAGGACAAACAAGGAAGCCGACCCCAATATACACGACTCAGTTTGAACTTGATGATGAGAAAGTATTCGCGACATTTCCAGGACGCGGACGGTTCGAAGTAAAAAAACCTGAGCCCCTTGGATCTCGAGGCCATGCAAGAAGTCGAGGCGCAAGGTAAGAAACCACGAGGAAAAGGAACAACGCAGAAGGCCACGGATGCTGACAAGAGCAAGGACAATGGAAAGAAACAGGACAAGGACGAGGACGACGGCAAGAAGCAGAGCACGATCGGCGAAGAGGTGGAATCTACTGTGAAAGCACACCTGTGGACATGCACTAAGGACGGGAAGACGTTGGTGATCTCTAAGAAAAAGGACAGGAAGTATATTTACGTTCTGAAAGAATCTGGTGGCCAAATATGTCAGACCTCAGTCGACGACGACTTGTCCGACGATCTGGCCTACAACGTGCTGAAGGAATGCGCGCGGGCATACCTTCATGGAGGGGATGGGGCGGGGTGCCGATACCAGCGCCCCCCTTGCAAGTAATCGCCCTCACGGTCCACTTGCTCCTCACTCTAATGCCACCTTGCCTCTTCCTCCCCCTCCTCCTCCTCCTCCTCTCCCTCCTCTTCCTCCTCTTCCTCCTCATCCTCCTCCTCCGCTTCCACTTCCGTCGCCCGTAAGGTCACCGCTCCTCCTCCTCCTCCTCCTCCTCTCCTCCTCCTCTGATCGTCCTCGTCGCTCTCCCCCTCATCCTCCCTCTCGTCGTCGTCGTCGTCGTCGTCGTCGTCGTCGTCGTCGTCGTCATCCTCCTCCTCCTCCTCCTCCTCCTCCTCCTCCTCCTCCTCCTCCCCCTCAGCTTGTCATCGCTCGTCTTCGGAAGCGTGGGAGGCAAACTCGAGAAGGATAACATCTACGCCAAGAGAGACGAGCTGGTCGAATACCACACGGACCCGAATTATTCAGGTCAGGGGAGGGATGGGACAGGGCAGCGCTGAAGCCGAGAAGAGGAGGATGAGGAGGAGGAGAAGGTGGAGGAGGGGCAGCAGATGGAGGAAGAAGGTGAATATTAGGAAAACGGGGAGGAGGAGGGGGAGGAGGAGGAGGGCGAGGAGGAGGAGGAGGGATGATGAGCAACGAACTCATCGCGAGCCATCGGGAATCATCTCATCATTCATCGCCTCAATTCCGCCCTCCCTCCACGCCACCGCCTCCCAGAAGGATGAGGATGGTAGGAGGAGGAGGAGGAGAAGGAGGGGGAAAGCGGAGGATGCCTCCCCGCCTGCCTTTAAAGGGGGTGAAGGCAACAGTGGCTGAGCACCTTCATTCGCCAGCTGATATGATATCACCCCCATTGGCCAGCTGATCAGCCAGCTGCTCATCTTCATTGGCCAGCTGATCACCTTCAGTCGCCTGAGGTATCGGGCACTTGGTACGATATCAGCGTGTTTGTCTAAAATGCTTGTTCGTTCTTCTGGTTCATGTGCTTTCGTTTCGCATGTTCCCACGTGCTAGGATGAGAGGGGGGAGGAGGATGAGGAGGGGGCAGGAACCCACCAGAATGCTGGCAAGACTGAGGGTGGGTCGACCCGCTACGTAGCTCCAAGGCACCCCTGATCGGGACACTGGAGGTCACGATCGCGCTTCGCGCCTCGCGGCCCTTCGCCAGATAGGGGGTGGAGGGTGCGACTGAGGTTAGCCCTAAGTCCCCCCCCCAATGGGCGCGAGGATGATCGCGCTTCGCGCCTCGCGGCCCTTTCCCAAGAAAAGAGTTCAAGAGTGCGACTGAGGTTAGCCCTAAGTTCACCCCCCCCCCCATCGGCGCGAAGATGATCGCGCTTCGCGCTTCGCTGACCTTTGCCAGGGAGGGGTTGTCGAAAGTGCGACTGAGGTTAGCCCTAACCCCCCAGGGGCGCGAAGACGATCGCACGTCGCGCCTCGCGGGGCAAGTAGGCACCACTTTCCAGGGAGGAGGGCACCTCCCCATGAGCCCGAACAGAGGAGGGGGAGGAGGAGGATGAGGAGGAGGAGGAGTAGGAAGAGGAGGAGGGAGAAGGTGAGAGGGGGCGTCGCACATGCTGCAGGAGCTGACAGATGTTTGCACGCAGCCTTTGCATCTCTCGAGCGATCTCAGCGGATCGAGGCGAGGGTAGTTAAGTACCAGGGCGGCCCGTG